ATACCGGGTCCAGCATCAGGCATTGTACTGAGGGAACAACCTGGACTCCCTATCACCAACTGCAGGACTCACACACAGAAAGTATATGTCAGACTTGACCCCCGAAATGTCTACAAGACACATAATCCCCAGGCAGCCGCACACTACAGTTGGAGAGGTGCCCGATGGACTGAGAATACCCTCGCTCATGCAGAAGCCAATATCAAACAAGCTGCACACTACAGTTGGGCAGGAGCCCGATGGACTGAGAATACCCTCGCTCACGCAGAAGCTGATATCAAACACATGCTCACTCAGTTGCAGAAAATGACTGTCACCCAAGCAGAGCTAAGCGGACATAACAAGCGTAACAAATGATTCCTGGGGGCCTTGCTTGGAGCTGCTGTTGCTGTTGGAACCCTGTTCAACCTGGGAGTGACCAGCATCAACTCCGTGCGCCTATCTACCCTGAGGCAACATGTAAGGGAGATCCAGACTGAGATGCCTCAGCTGAGAGAACAACTCGCACTACATACTCTCTCCAAGCCCACCTTGCCTACTCCTTGGGAGGATCCATCCTGCTACATATCGACCCCGAGCAGAGCGAGATGGCGTACAAGCCCTTCCTCCGAGACAACACGGAAGGAATCTGCGGGTTACAACCCATGCAAAAAGAGACACTCTGCCCTGCTGAGGCCAAGCCTCGTGCACAAATCACAGAAACGCAAGCAGAGATTGTGGGAAATCAGCGGCTCGTCAACACGCCCATCCGTACCGCCACACTGACCTATGACCAATTAGAAACCACCTGCCATCCGGCCTTCCTGATCCACCTGCCATCTGACCATCAGAATCCACCTGCCATCCGATCATCATGATACACCTGCTGTCCGACCATCATGACAACTGTTGTCTGACGATGTTTGCAGGTGAACTTCGTCAGCCAAAAGAAGGGATTCTGTGACGTCTGCTTGAAATCATGGCTGATCATTGGGGTTTTATGTCTTTAGAGACCCCTCTTAGCCTTTTGACATTTGCATATAAATTACAGTCCTGGCCCCAGATTCTACATTTATATGGGTGCTAAATTGCCAATGGTCTTTCCCCCATTATCAAGAAGATGGTAACCAGATCAACTCTCTGGTCTCCCCATCGACTTCAAACACAATGAACCTAATAGGACTCAATGTCCTAAGAGACAGCCATCCACAGTACCTGGCGCCAGATGTCTGATGGCCAGCGAACTAACCCCATGCTCGCAATACACATAACACTATATGCATGTGTTGTTTGTACGTTTCCCTATTAGATTAGCTGAGTTACCACTCGTTATTTGTATTAGTTAAGCCCTAAATGCTGATATTCAGGTGTATGAATGTATCTCTGGTTTAATATATTCTAAATGTTTCTTTCTTGGTATCAATATGATCTGCTCTTTATTCCTCAAACAATGATGTACACTATGTGATCGTGAAATGCATCATACTATTTGTACCATATTTTGGGTAAAACTGCACCAATCCTCCAGACCAGCAATAAACATGCAAATGGATCATAAACAGAGACAAAGAAAGTTTATACCGCTCAAAATTAATGCCTCTGATTGGCCATTCCACCCAAAAGGTGGGTGTGGATAGGAACTATCAAAAGTCATTAGCTCAGACTAATCTTGGCTCAAAAACCTCTTCTTTTGAGACGGACACAATCCAAGACTCCTCAAAACTCTCCTCTTGAG